AACCTCTGAGCTCCCTTCTTGGTTACCCTCAAAGCTGAATGAGAAGATGGGACAAAAAACTGAAACCTTAACTTCTACATTGACTATAGGATTTTCTCTATAACAAGTATCATTTTTATAAAAAATAACCAACTTCCTAAAGAACAGGGTTTGGAATTTATTTTCCCTAACAAACCCATAAAGAGAAAACTGAAATCAGAATCCAGTTAAATCTCTTGGCAGTCACCAGGAGCTAAGAAAGGGAGCCCATGTTTATGGATAGAGAACTTCCCACTCTGAGCCCTTTAATGAAGGTACATGATTAATATTATATACACACACAGGCAGTGCAGTGAGGGCATTTTGCAAGTAGAGCTAGTGCTTCTGATCCTCTCACTCACAAACAGGAGGATCACCATTCTGCTCATTCCAAGGAGTGGCAACAGTGAGAGAACCTTCGCTCATAATCTGGAGATCTGGAGAATGTAGGATCGGAAGTTTTCCACCTCGTGATGATAAACCACAGTGTAGTTGGGGTACTTCCCCTATAAGGCAGCCTTCTCAACAGGACAGCATCCACATCACAATGACAACAATAATGTTAAAATGCTTTACATCACTCTTTTATTTCAAAAGTGCTTTACTAACATAGACTAATCTTCACAACATTTAAGGGAGGTAGATAAGTATTACACCACTTTCACAGATGGAGAAACGGAGGCAAAGATTAGTAAATTGTGTTGAAGAGCATAATATATGGCACGGTTAGGTAAAGACTTTGTCGCTGTCATGGATCACTGGTGATCCTTCCCATGACTTCTGAGTCCCACCAACACAAAAGTAGCAGACGCAGCCCGGAAGCAGGTTGTCCACAGTCTGGCTAGTCTAAGGTACGCGGCACCTCGTTGCTACCCGATGTTGAATGTGCTGCCCTTTGGCAAGTATTTCCCTCACACCCGTTCTCACATGACTCCACCTCTGAAACAGGGGAGAGTGGGAGCTGTTGTGGGTACAGAAGGAGGGGCTGGAGGAACAGGACCGGGAAGGTGGAAGATAGAAAATATGAACTGATATCAATGCAAGGGCAAGGGAGAACAGGAGGACAGGCTGGAAGCAGCCCAACGAAAAGGAAACCCACAGCAGAAAAGAAGTGTCACTCCACTTGAAAAGCTCAGACATCCAGAAATGCTATTAAAAGGGTAATTCTTAGCAATGACATTATAGAACCACTCCTCGTGGCTTTGCCAAATATAATTATCAGGTCCTTCTGACATTCCAAGGAGGCAGAGCCATTCCTTCCCCTGGTCCAGGCCAAGTGCTGATGTAATTGACCTGACACTGCAGAGGCTGTTGACAACTCAAATGCACTCTGCCACCATGCCACCTCTCTTCCTCCACTCTCTTCTAGGGGGAAAAAAAAGGCCAATGCATTTTAAGATTCTCTCTGCAAAATTCCTAAAACATTCCCTAAATTTTTGCTGCATAACAGGGTAGGATTCCGTGTTTGACCTTTGTAAAGGGCTGTGATAGGCATACATGGGGACCACCAGCCCCCTCAGCCAATGCCCCTTTATACAACATGGGACACTAAGGAAAGAACCTTTTCTGCTCTTTCTGGCACAAAGCTATTATAAGAGATGGTGACGTGCACCACCAGCTGCAATGGAAGTACTGGGGGCAGAGGCAGCACCAAATGAGGGGGCTGACAAGGACCCAAGGAGGGGCTAGAGAGTAGGATGGACAGAGAGAAGAGGCAGAAGTCGGAGCAAAGAGGGGACAAGCAAAGCAGAGATGGACACAGGGGCTTGTGTTTGAGGCTGAGTGGCAGGTAACAGCATTAGTTCATCTCTTGGCCACTCCCGGTTTGGGTCAGAGCCAGAAATGCATCCTTTCTGCCTCTCTTTTAATCAGCAGCATTATTCTTTCAGGCATCTAGCTTTAACACCTCGCCCCTCCTCTCCAACAAAAGCAATCAACTGCCAAGCCTGACTGATTCCACCTCTGCAGTGCCCTTCACTTTGGTCTCCCTCAGTCCGACTACAGCCTCCTCTAGATCCTCTTATCATCTCGTCCTAACCAGGGCCAGACCCTCCCACCTCATCTCCCGGCTCCAGTCTTCTCTAAACTCAGTTGCACCTTCTCATCTTCCTCCTGGAGCACAGTGTTGATCATGCTACTGCCCAATTTGGAAATTCACCGTGTTCTCACTGCCTCCCGGTTATATGTCTCATCATCTTGAATCTTCAACAGGACCTTGCATCTAGCAAAGGTTCGCCTCTTTCTGAATCTCCATCTGTCCAAATGCCAACTCTAAAGACTTAACTCAGATGCCACCTCCTCCAGGAGGCCTTCCTTCCTCCTGGAGGAGGTGGCATTTGCTCTGAGCTACAGATGCACTTGAAGACATGCGCTAATGAGGTACCTGACAGCTGTGAACAAGTCTTACCTCCCCTACTGGCTGGCTGTGTCCGTGATTTGGCCAGGTGGGGGATTGTGAACTGTAATAAATTTGTCTATTCCCTACAGCACCTACCAAGAAATGCTTTTGCATTTCCACTTCAGGTAAGGAACTGCTCAACAGTGAAATGAACATATATCTGTCCATGAATGGAGACACCAAAGTACACTATGGGTATGATCTGGCTCTCAGGACAAAACAAATCCTTTACAGAACTTTGAGAGATGGGACAGGGGCAGACAGGTGGGACCATTTGTTTTGGAATAGAGAGAGCTGGGACAGAACTTCTCCTTTGCCGTTTACTAGCTACTGGTCTGGTACAAGATGGTTCTTCTCTGAGCATCATTTCCTCACTTCTGCATGACCTCACAAGGTTAAGGATCAAATGAGGCACATCTGTGAGCTCGACACCACTGGTTCTCAATCCCAGTGATGTACCATAATCTCCAATAAAATTTTCCAAAATGTAGAGGACCAAGCCCCAACCTGGGTCAACAGAATCAGAATCTTCTGGGAGTGGGGCCAGGTGGGACTAGTTATTTACAAAATACTATTTCTAATGCATAGCCCAGGTTGAAAACTGTTATAAACTCATAAATACCACTAACAGTAGAGCAAGATGCTTTAGGCTTCTGGTTTCATTATCCTTTATTTGGTTAGGAATTAGTTCTGTTTTTATACTTTCATTATGTGTGTGAGCATTTTTTGTATTGTGTTCTGCATGGTTGTGTTTAAGTGCTTAAGTGATAAATTCTGAGAGAGGATGATAACCAGCACACTGCTGTACACAACGTGTACCTAACCCAATTGTGGGGGTGGGGGTGAGGGTGGGGAGAGAGTAAGTAAAAACTTCACAGAGTCCTCTGAAACCTTGCTACACAGAAGTGTGCTGACCAGGCAGGCAGAGCTGGCATAACCTGGAAGCTTACAAGAAATGCAAAATCTCAGGTCCCACTCCAGAAGCTGCACATTAACAAGATTTCCAGATGGATCAGTAGGTGAAGCAAAGCAAAATTTCTCTCTGTTCACATCTGTGCTGAGGGTCTGCTGTTCCCTGCCCTAATCCTGAGGAGGTGGGAGGGCATGGAGAGTCAAGTCCTGTCTCCCATAAACCGTTTAGGCTTGAGACTTTATCGAGATGTGTCTTGTCTAAAGGGTCCATTTGGTAAAAGCTAAATGAAGAACACAAATCCTTGCAAAAGGATCCTTCCTTTCAAAGACTAGTCTTCACACCTTTCCTTCAAATCACCAGTTCCTCTAAGGTATTTAAAACATGATCAGAGGAGAGAATAAACTGATATCCACGTAAGTTTTATGAAGTGCTTCAATAACATGTATATGTTTATCTTACTGAACTTCTAGTCCCCAGGACCCAAATCCCCAAATTGTGAGGACAGGAAGCTGAGCCAATGCAGTAATCAATTCTTCCCTGTTGACCCACACCCTCTGGACAACTATGATATCAGCGGTACCCATCCAAGGCTCTGCAGACCATACCACAGTCAAGGAGCTGCAGCAGATTCTGAACATGATCTAGACCAACTTCCTTGTCTTATGGACAGGAAAGACCAGAGCCGCGGATTAAAAGGAGTTATCCCAGGTCACACAGCACTTTGAGGCAGAGCCACGATCGGAATTCAGGCCCTGACTCCTAACCCGACACTCCCTACAGAGCCTCTGCCACACATACTTTTCTTTCCCCACCACAAGGCCTTGACATTTCATGCTCAGAAACTGCTGACCTGCCTTGGCACGTGGTGTCATTTTGCTTGTTCTAGCGACTGTCATGCCCGATGTCCCAGAACCGTTTTTAACACTAGGCTACAGGAGAAGCTCTATCCCAACTCAACCAAAATATCCACTTGCCAATCTATATTTCCAAATATGCTGGCAATGGGTTAAGAAGCCCAATGCTAACTGAGCAGTGCAAACTACACAGCATTACTCTTGGCTAGCACCATGAGCACGGTGAGGGAAGGGCCTTTCCCTAGGTGGCTGGAGATTAAAAACAGGGCACCCATTAACTCAGTAGTACAAAGTTGGGAGGATGCTACAGAGGGAAAGCAAAGACGAGCACAGTGGGGGAGGCAGCACCTTTGAAAAACATACACAGTGTGACTATAAAATTGCAAGTCTTCTCTTTTAATAAAACAGACAGGACAGATCATAGAAATCTAAATGCACGTGTCTCCCTCAGGGCAGTTACAGCCTTAGTTACAACAAAGCTACCAACTGTTAGAACCACTATTTGCAAGCCCTCTTTGGGTGAAGGCCTTCAAAGGGGGTTTATGAGCCACATTAGAAAACATCCTTCCAAATGCCGGATGGTTTAAAAATCAGAAAAGCCACTCCAAGAATGACAGTGAAAACAAAATGAAACAAAAACAAAAAAACAAAACCAAAAGACAAAACAAGAGGCGCTGTGTGTGATTCCCAGGGAGGTTCCCTAAAGACCTCCAGCCAGTTCTAAGCAACAGCCCCACAACATGTGGCCTCCGGGGTCTTTCAGCTGCTTTCAACAGCAGCATGTTCATTTGGAGAAAAGTTCTGTCTACTTAAAAAAAAAAAAAAAAAAAAAAAAATCAGCCACACTTCTTTATAGTCACACTTGCAATCTGATTAAAAAAATACAACAACAACACTCACACATGGTTCTCGTTATGAATTCTAATTAAGAGACATTACATTCAGAATTCTAGCACTCGTAGTGATCATTTTCGGGAGACTGGAACAGCTTCTTTGCCATTGGCAGGCGGGGCACGGGGTGCGGCCGTTTACCTGAACGTATTCTTAAATACGGGACTACTATCGCGCTAAGTTTCCTAATCGTAGCTCTGTTACGAGGTCCTGACCGCGAGCTCACGTTCCGGATCGCTTACAGGGGAGCCGCCCCCGCAGTCTTAGGGTGAATTGGGAAAGGGCCGGTTAAAGGAGGAGACAGGCCACTCCTTGGTGAAAGTTTGTAGTTTTCTTTCCCAATACATCTTCTTTTTATTGAGAACTTCCATTTTTATCCTGTGCTCCTCCTCTGCCATCTCACACTCCCGCTCTATCTGCTGGATTTTGGCCACATGCACCTCATTCATTTGTATCAGCTGCAGCTGTAAGATGGACATTTGTTGATGGTGTTCTTCCTCATGCATCTTTTTTAAAGCACCTTCCTGAGAGGTTTTGCTCCTGTAGTGTTTATTGGCTGTGATTCTGACAGCCGAACACGAGGGTTCAGGTTGGGAGGTCCCCTCACACACTGGAAAATGTATGAACTCTTTCTCATCATCGCACAGTTCTCTATTTGAAACAGCAAATGATTCTGAAAAACAGTAGCAGAAAACACACATTCAAAGATTTTACAGGCAGAGAGAAAATCGATCCTATTTCAAATGACAGGTCCCCCGCCATAGGATGGAGCATTGGCCTGCATGTCTATGGGCACCCTTGTCATGCCTGACCTTTGAAAAACCCGCAAATCAAACCAGCGTTCCCTTCAGAAGTCATGATACAGGTTTTGTCCTGTCATGTCTAGAACTATGAACTCCGGGAACAGTGGTCCGAAACTGTGCTGATCAAGAACTGGAGACCTTGGCACAGTGATCTAAGTTCTCAGCGGAAGGAGTCAGCAGAAGACCACACACGAGGCCAACAGTGGGTTTTCAGATTAAATTCTCCCTCAGTCTGACCTCCCTCTCTCAGTCTCTCACTCAGCCATGAGGATGTATTATGTTCAATCTCCATGGGGGACCCACTGCTCTGTTTCCTGGTCACAGGTCTTAACACTGGATCTTACAGATCTTACAGATGTTCCTGAAAGGTGAGTCTGCATTCCTCAGTGTAACCTCCTCGCACACTACTCCTCGCTTTCCAGGACCCCTCTTACGTAACCTCTCCCTAGCACTTGACAATCCCTGAAATTTCTTTATTAGCTTCTGCCCCGTGGCTCTCTGCTCAGTTTTCTGCACCTTCTCTCTGACCGCTCCTTCTCGAGCCTCCTTCCAGGGCTCAGACTCGTGCTGCACCCATCCCTCACACCTTTAATATCCCCCTGGGCTTCCCACCTTTAGCTCTGTTGTCACTGCAGCCTAAGTAACACTCATAATCTCATTCTAGCCTTCCTTTATCTTTCTGGCATTCTTCTTCAAAATACTTTCGATGCCCTGCAATCCTACCACAAACTTCACATTCTTTAAGGCCAAGCACTCTTTAAAAAAAAAGAAATGGAGCTCCTGGGTGTCTCAGTCGGTTAAACAGTCATGACTCAGGTCATGGTCTCGGGATCCTGGGATCAAGTTCTGAGTCAGGCTTCCCACTCAGCGGGAGTCTGCTTCTCCCTCTGCCTCTACGCCCTGATCTAATAGATAAAATATTTTTTAATAAGTTAAAAAAATAAAGGCCAAGCTCTTTTTCACAATTCTGTCTCTGTTCTTTCAGCCAGAGGCTGGGCTAACTATTCCTCTCTCTTCGCTCCCAGTCCCAGACCCTGCACTCACTCAAACCTATGCTCTTAACTCTCCTTTTCAACCGCCCCTCAACCCTTAGTTCGTTCGAGATCCCTGAAACCCCAGATCTCTCCTTTCTCCACGAGTACTCTTCTATTATGGCACTTACCACATGACCATGCCTTATTCATTTCTTTAATCCTTGGGCACCAATTATTTTGCTTGGTACATAGAGGATGCCTAGTAAATATTTATTGGCTGAAGCTCTGAACACAAAGGGAGAAGAGCTTATGGATACAAAAGGATGTCATTTTTGCTGGTGCCACGTTTGCACTAGTATTTTTATGGGACGACATTTTATCAAAGAGTTTCATAAGGAAGACACTAACTCCAATAACCGATGGAGTTTTCCAGCTGTGACTCCAAGGCTTTCTTGGGAACCTTTATGTTTCCAATAATGAGAACTATCTCCTTGGAGAAAAATAATATCAATTTATTAACAGAGTTGATTACAGTAGCTATTACGTCCACTCCATTATTCCAGAAGATGGGATGCCGGGAATGTTAACGGCTACTGGGGGATACCTAACTCATGATACTCTGTTAATAAAAGGAAAATAGCTACTGTTTAGATTATTTCACTCCAAGGGGTTAGGTTACAACCATAACTGGTCCCTAATTAAGATTAAAGGAAGGGAAGAAGTCTCGCTTCTGAAAGAGGTTAAAAGTACTTCTATGTTATCCAGAGATAGTGAAGATATCTCCCTAGGAATCTTTCCCAACTCCGAGGGCTGTGGCCTTAATTGGATGTCCTTCCTTCCTGCTCCTGCTGCCTCCTGAGCCTACCTCTGGCAGAGCACTTGTTAAAACTGGTGGTTTAACCACCTCCCCTTCGGGTCTCTGAATATTTTGAAGACAGAACCTGTCTTTTACTCATCCTTGTGGAGAACCCACCACATGGCTTGGACATTGCTGGCCACGTCAGAAACGCGTGGAAACGAACTCGCCGCAGTGGGTCACATTCCTCCCAACCCAGTACAACTGTGTAGACAGGACAGGGTCCTGAGTGGAGAGCCAAGGCACAGGACAAGGGAATGGGAAAGGCTTCGCCCTGAGAACAGGGTCCCTCAGATGTGAACAACTGTAAAGAGGATGACCTCATCTGCTTTCCGTCTAGTCTTAGATCTGGAAGTGTCTTCTTGGAACACTGGATGCAGAGAAATTTGTTGGTACCTCTAGCCTCTTTTGTCTGTGATTCCATTCCAGAGGATAGTTTCATATGTTCTCTAAGTCTTTAAAGTCCATGCCCTCATGATGCCGCTCATCTCTCCCCATTTCTAAATGCTCATTTTTAATTTCAACCATTACAGGCTTTAGGGGCCTGATGATGACGATGATGAAGGCAGCTACCATTTTCTGTAGAGCTAACCAGGGGCTGTGATCTAAGTTCTCAGTGCTAGTGCTTTGCAGCATCACCTCATTTAATCCTTACAACAACCTTCCGACGGGGAGGTATTATGACAGAAAACCAAACACATTAGCCAAAGTCATTTTGCTGACTGAAAGAACCAGGGCTCTAAACCAGGTCATGCAGGACTCCATCATCCAAGCTCAACTACTACGACACCCAGCCTCTCTCTAGTTTACTTGCTCAGCTGATCACTTATGCATCTCAAAAATGCTGCCTCCAGGGGCACCTGGGTGGCTCAGTGGGTTAAAGCCTCTGCCTTCGGGCCAGGTCATGATCCCAGGGTCCTGGGATCAAGCCCCGCATCAGGCTCTCTGCTCAGCAGGGAGCCTGCTTCCCCTCCTCTCTCTCTGCCTACCTCTTTGCTTACCTGTGATCTCTGTCTGTCAAATAAATAAATAAAATCTTAAAAAAAAAAATGCTGCCTCCAAGTTGTATCCACTACAAAATACTCCATTATTAAGAATATGGGCACCTATTTCAAATTTTGATCTCCAAATTTGTTCTATAGAGCTATGAAGATGAAGACAAGTATGGTCATGTCTGGGGGCAGAGAGATGACTCTATTTTCAAACTGTCCTTTTTTAGTTTAAATGTGTGCTAACATAGACATTTTAAAGAAAAAAAAAAATCCAGGCCCCTTAAGAAAACTCTGGCAGAAGATGGGGCTTAAAACTAGAGGAATCTGATGGAGTAATTAACTTTCAAACAAATATTAGCTCCAATGAATGGAAGCTAGTGCTCAGATGGGGAGAATCTTCTCTTAATTGGAAAAAGACTGTCCTGGGATGGCAACCTGCTGCAAACACATACCATGTAAACTCTTTCTCAGGTAAAACAAAGCCACCCGAAGTAGAAAACAACTCAATATTGTGCAAAATGGATAGGAAGGCCTAAGGGCTTTCCCGGGAGCAGAGAACACTCAAGGACGCACTCTTCCACTTGGGCAATTTGAGTAAGTTTAGTATCAGCAGGAAATAACCTACTATGGCAGTAACCAGATGGAAAGGAGACTGTATACAGGCCAACCCCCAGCTCTTCTCCACAGAGCAAAGGTAAAAGGGCTGACTAGGAAAATAGATGAACAAGATGCAGTGAGTGCGTATTACAGAGTATGGTGCGTCAACTGAAAGAAACATATCCGATTTACACATTGCACTGGGGATGGATCTTGCAAACATTCTAAATGAGGGCACCTGGGTGCTCAGATCGTTAAGCGACTGCCTTCAGGTCAGGTCATGATCTTCAGGTCCTGGGATCGAGCCACATATCAGGCTCCCAGCTTAGCAGAGAGTCTGCTTCTCCCTCTCCCTCTGCCTCTCCTCTATTTGTGCTCTCTCTGCCCCCCTCAAATAAATAAAAATAAAATCTTAAAAAAAAAAAAGCCATTCTAAATGAGGGGTGCCTGGGTGGCTCAGTTGGTTAAGTATCCAACTCTTGATTTTGGTTCAGGTCATGATCTCAGGGTCATGGGATCAAGTCCCATGATGGGCTCTGCAACTCAGTGGGGAGTCTGCTGGAATTTCTCTCCCTCTCCCCCTGCCCCCAAATATATAAATCTTTTTTGAAAAAATTCTAAATGAAAAACAAGGCAAAACAAAAAACCGAAGAATGGTATCCATACCACAATTTTCAATCTATGTAAATTTAAAATATATGCACTCAAAACACCAATGCCTGCTCTCAAGAACATGTGAGAGAATACACAAGCACACTGGACTGATTAGGAGGCAGAAGAAAAGAATGAATGTGGTTAATGGTGATAAATAACAACAACCAAAAAACCACATAAGTAACACAAAAAAGGGGCTTTTCACAGACCAATGATGTTAATGTGCCATGACTGGAAATATAACTCAGTCCCTGTACTGGAGTTCCCACCCCAAAAGAAGAGGATTGGATTAAAAAGTGAGTAATAATGGAATTTATAAATAAATATTTACATTATTTAATTATAGCTTTGTATACCCATGTTTGCAGTATTCACTTATAGCTTTGTAATAGAGAAATAATAGCTATAATATAATAGCATATGAAATTAAATAGAAGTTCTCTTAAAATAGTTGAGTACTACTTGAAAGCTCAGTTTTCTTTACTTTTTTTTTTTTTGGGAAAGCTTAGTTTTCTTTTCTTTTTTTTTTTTTTTTAAAGATTTTATTTATTTGACAGACAGAAATCACAAGTAGGCAGAGAGAGAGAGAGAGAGAGGAGGAGGAGACAGGCTTCCCGCTGAGCAGAGAGCCCGATGTGGGGCTCGATCCCAGGACCATGGGATCATGACCTGAGCTGAAGGCAGAGGCTTTAACCCACTGAGCCACCCAGGCACCCCAAAGCTTAGTTTTCTTAAATGTATTTGACATTTTGACATTTGGTCATCTGACCCTCCTTTTCACCCCAGCACATTTTGTTGGCTCCCTTAATTTGTTCTGCAAACCTGTTCCCCCAAGATAATGGGAGATACATGTCATAGCCAAATGATCACATATTATAAATCTATAGGGTACAGATTGTTTCAATATATTTAAGGGGGAAATGCTGGTTTTTTTGCAAATGTTTTCTTTAGTGTTAAATTTTAAGACTACTGTGTTCAAATACAGATGTACCTCTCAAAAAAGTCATGGATAAAGCTAAGAATATCCAGGGAATGGTGATCAAGATGACACAGCTGAAACCATCTCACACAAGAAATAGTTGGAGGGAGGCCTCTAGTGGAATACTGCCAGGCTCCATCCTGTTTGACAAATTTCAACAAGTCTCTAATCATCTAATTCTGCAACAGGCACTCTGTAAGGTGTAAGAATAGTATTGTCCAATACAAATATAATACCAGCTACTTATGTAATTTAAAATTTTCTCATAGCCACCTTAAAAAAGTAAAAGGAGGTGAAACTAATTTTAATAATATATTTTTTATCCAATATATTTTAAATACTCTCATTTCAACATGTAATCAAAATAAAAATTATTAGGGGCACCTGGGTGGCTCACTGGGTTAAGCCTCTGCCTTTGGCTCAGTTCATGATCCCAGGGTCCTGGGATCGAGCCCCACATTGGGCTCTCTGCTCAGCGGGGAGCCTGCTTCCCCCTCTCTCTCTCTGCCTGCCTCTCTTCCTACTTGTGTTCTCTTTCTGTCAAGTAAATAAATAAAATCTTTGAAAAAAATAAAAATAAAAAAATAAAAATTATTAGTAAGATATTTTCCATTCTCTTCTTGGTATTATGTCTTCCTGACACAGTATGTATACTTGGACCATATCTCAATTTAGTCTACCCACATTTTCAAGTGCTTACTAGCCTCTTGTGGCTTGCGACTGCTGTATTAGCACAGGGTTAGGGATACTAACACAGACACACACACACACACACACACACACACACACACACAGAGTCTATGAATCAAACAGAATCCACACCACAAAAATGAAAGCCATATTCTAGTGAAAATTTTCAGCTTTTCCCCACCAAGACCCAGAAGGGATAACTGACAATTACAGCTTTCTTCCTCTTTCTCGAAAGTAAGTTGAAATACAACATGAGATAAACTCAGGCTGTTTTAATGTATAAAGAGAGTTCCAGCACCTTACTACTAGTGTTAACAGATTACTTTGGATATACATCCTAACTGACAAAGCACCATGGTACTCCACCACCCTCCAGATGTGACCTAGAAACAGGAAGAGTTAGCATAGGCTGCACTTTGACCATCACCAGCAAAAAGAGAAGTTCCCATGTCATATAGGTACAAATACTCAATTTAAAATCAATCTCTTGGGGCACCTGGGTGGCTCAATTGGTTAAGCGACTGCCTTTGGGTCAGGTCATGATCTTGGAGTCCCGGGATCGAGTCCCAAATAGGGCTCCCTGCTCAGCAGGAAGTCTGCTACTCCCGCTGACCTTTCTCGTCTCCTGCTCTCTCTCTCTCAAATAAATAAATAAAATCTTAAAAAAAAAAAAATCAATCTCTTTTGCAAGTATGAGTCTTTAGAAATGTCACTGCAGAAGGACACTGAGAATCCATATTTATTCTTGCTTGAAATTTATAAATTGTATTTATGAGTAAATGAATTACATCATTTCCTCTGAAAAGAAAGAAAAAAGTTTTTGGAATGAACTCACTCGATCCTACTCTAGAATTCAAAAATGGGGAAATAAGACTGTCCCCTTTAGAATAACCCTATGAAACTGATATACACTAATTCAGAGCAAAGATTTGCAATGTTACCTGAAAGCTGTCTATCCCAGCATCTTTCCTGGCAACATCTCCCAGGGAACTAAATAATTCGAAAAACAGCCCTGCTGATTCATCTGCCTCCCTCCCTCAGCATTACTCCCTTCACTGTCTGCAGAGTATGAATGGCTCTGGGGCCGGGAGATAGACAGTGTCAATTAGCAAGAGGGTCCAATCCACAACAGATGATAACGAGAAAGGGTAAGTGAAAGAGTCACCAGTGTCCCTATCAACACTGTCTACCAGGAGGTACCCTGGCTTGGGAACTGAAGAATCAAAACTCACAAAGGGCTTCTCCACTGGAAAACAATACACGAGGTTCATGGCACTATGGTCATCCAACTGGCTCCCTGCACTTAATCTAGTCAAATGATCAGCAAACAAATTTTTTATTACAATGTTGCATCCCTGGATGATCTGCCTATCCTGGAAAAAAAATGTGCTAACTGAAAACATGTATTTGGTTCATGCGGTTATTATTATCTTCTTTTTCACTCTATACGGATAACATTCTTGGTTTTAGATAGTTTCTTGTGACTTATAATTAACCACTCCCACAGAGCTCAATCTAGCCTGGGGACACTAATTTCTCATCTTGCAAGCCAAAGTCCATAGTTTTCCTAGGCAAGGGCTTGCTGGGTCATTGGAGCAACCCTCTGGCCTCCCCAGGAATATTCCTCTGCTTTAAGGTGTGTCTTCTGCAAACTGCAATGAATCATTATATAAACTGGTCATTCATATCTTATTTTTTTTTTTAGATTTTATTTATTTATTTGACAGAGATCACAAGTAGGCAGAGAGGCAGGCAGAGAGAGAGGGGGAAGCAGGCTCCCTGCTGAGCAGAGAGCCCGATGTGGGGCTCCATCCCAGGACCCTGGGATCATGACCCGAGCTGAAGGCAGAGGCTTTATCCCACTGAGCCACCCAGGCACCCCTGGCCATTCCTATCTTAAAGAAGACAAGAATTACTGGTAATTTATCTATATGCATTCCCACTGTCTCCTTGCCTAGAGACCTTTCAACAGCCCCTTTCTCCTAACCTCTCTGAGCTATGACAATCATATGATACATAGCATCCTTGCTTCCATGACAGTCTTTTCCGTCCCTAAAAGTTCTGCGTATTTTGTTTCAATGAAAGTATATTAAAACTAAAATGACTATTTCCCAGAATTTCTCAAGTTTTTTGGAGTGCCACAAACCAAAACTATGGATCACAATATTATAATGGGTCGGAATGCTGGTTTTTTTTTTTTTAAGATTTTATTTATTGATTTGACAGAGAGATCACAAGCAGACAGAGAGGCAGGAAGAGAGAGAGAGAGAGAGGGGGAGGGAAGCAGGCTCCCTGCCGAGCGGAGAGCCCGATGCGGGACTCGATCCCAGGACCCTGAGATCACGACCTGAGCCGAAGGCAGCGGCTTAACCCACTGAGCCACCCAGGCGCCCGGAATGCTGGTTTTTAATCTGGATGAATGCTAACAGATGTTTGCTATATTTGTCTTAGTACTTAATTCTCAAGTTAGAAATAGTTCACTATTTTAATGCGGCCTCTGAGTAACTTAGTGCAGTGCTCTGTGCATAATAGGTCCTAAAAAAACACTTTTTATAAAAAATAAGTTTGAGCTTTGTGCAGTGGCAGTATCGTAGCCAATGAGGTTTATCCGAGGCGCGATTATTGCTAATTGAAAAAATAAGTTTGAGTGACAGGGCGCCTGGGTGGCTCAGTAGGTTACGTATCCAACTCTTGTCAGGTCATGATCTCAGGGTTGCAGGATCCAGCCCCACATGGGGCTTCCTGCTCAGCACGGAGTCTGCTTCCCCTCTCTCTCTACCTCTCCTCCTGCTTGTGCTCACTCGCTTTCTCTTTCTCTCTCCCCCTCTCTGTCAAATAAATATATAAAATCTTAAAAAAAAAAATTCATCAAATGAATATAAATTCTCAAAGAAATCCTCTTTGATAGAGATGACAGAGGTTGAGATAAGCAACCAAGGAACTTAGTAACCATATGAATACAGCCCCTTATCTTTCCTTATTCTTCATGATAAAGACTAGAGAGCCCTCGAGAACAAGGGTATCAACAAGTCCTTTGGCTGTTCTGTACTTCTAGAACTTGCCTGTTCTACAGAACCTGGGGATGGTGAACTGGGAGGAATCAGGTTTGATCTGAGAGCTTCTCTTTGATAAACACCCTTGGAAAGCAGAGACTGTAAAGCGAAGTCGCGCAGCAGGTGCCCGGCGAGAACTCGCGCGCTGGCCCGGGGAACCCATACCTTGGGCCGCGCCGTCGGGGTGGTATTCGGGCTCCTCCTCCGGGGGGCTCTGCAGGAAGTACAGCTGCTCGGGCAGCATGCTGGCGATCTTCTCCTTCCCCAGGACGTGGGTGCTCAGGAGAGGGCTGACGCTCCGTTTCACCTTCTCTCTCCTCTCATGGGCCATAATCTTTTTGGTCCGAGCCTTGATGTTCTCCCAGCACTTCTTCAGCTGCTTGAAATCCCGCAGCGAAACGCTGGGCTGAGAGTTGTACTCGTGGGCAAGCGCCTGCCAGGTGCGCTGCTTGAGCGCAATAGTTCGCGCGTCGCTTTTCTTGCATTCCAGCACATACTTGTACTTTTCTACCAAAGCAAGCAGGATGCTCTTTTCCAACTCCGAGAAGTATTTGGCAGGTTTTATGATTTCGTTGTTTTGCATTTTCCAACCTATTTCTCCTGGCTGTCAGCTATCCTATAAAAGAAGTTTGAAACGATCGTTACCAACTCTTGCAAGGAAAACGGCCGCCTATCCCTTTAGCTTAATCCCAACTTGACTCCCTGGCCTGAAACGCAGGACTTTTTCTCCCGTGAATGTGGAATTAGGATGGTCTCAAGAAAAACGTTTAGGGGCACCTGGGTGGCTCAGTTCATGATCTCAGGGTCCTGGGATCAAGCCCAGCATGGGGCTTCTGCTCAGCAGGGAGCCTGCCTCCCCCCCTCCTCTCTGCCTGCTTCTCTGCCTACTTGTGATCTCTGTCGAATAAATAAATAAAATCTTAAAAAAAGAAAAGAAAACCGTTTAGACGGTCACTAGAAGTGGGGTTTTACTTCAAAGATGTTTCACGTAGGTCCTTATTTGTAGGGCCTGGCCACTCTGTGAATATCTTGCATGTAACCGCAAAAAAGAAAAGTCGTTGAACATCTACGTGGAACTCTTAATTTGTTCATTTATTTCTACTCAATGTCAGGAAACTGACCATTCCCCATATTCACAATGTTAGGCCACTTTTCAACTAAACAGCTTTCTTGAAGTTTTGTCACAGCTGAAGACAAGAAAGGCCACAGTGTAACCAAATGGGATGGATAACACAAACTGAGATCTCAGAATCATCAAGAGATCACCCCAAAAGACCTGACACTTCCATTACTATGTGACCTTAGACAGGGCCATGCTCCTAGAGGAATTTGTTTCTTCCTCTTTAAAATGAGGGCTTGGAGTGTGTGATCCCTAAGGTCCGAGGGCCACTTTTAAGTGTACAGTCCTATGTAAATAAGTCATATAATTTCAGAGGTAAAAGAGCCAAATAGTCCCCTTTTCAATTGAGGGACCTAAGAGCCAGTAAGTGGACTTCCCAAGATCACAAAGATGGCGCCTTGGGAAGTCAAGAATCTAGACTATTCTAATAATCTGGTATTTTTTTTTTAACACACCAAATATTCATTTTTGTTATGGACATTCCTTTGAAGTCTTTGTTCACATATAATAACAGTTATCAATTATATAATATTTATAATTTTTGAAATACTACATTTCTCCATTATTTTTTAAGAGTAAATCTACATACCTTTTTACATATTTGGTTTAAAAATAAATATGTAAGGGCGCCTGGGTGGCTCAGTTGGCCAAGCGTCCAACTCTTGATTTCTGCTCGCGTCGTGATCTCAGGATCATGAGATCAAGCCCCATGTCAGACTCCCTGCTCAGTGGGGAGTCTGCTTGGAATTCTCTCTCCCTCTCCCTCTACCTACCCTCTCTCTAAAATAGATGAATCTTTAAAAAAAGAAAGAAAAAATTTATTTAATATACATAAACTTAACTTGATAGCCATATACATAATGAAATTATTACTATAGTCGAGCTAATAAACATATCTCCTCACAGTTACCTTTTTTCTTTTTCAAGTAATCTCTAGTATTATTTTTTAAGTAATCTCTACACCTAACAAGGGGCTTGAACTTACAACCCCAAGATCGAAAATCGCATGCTCTACCGATGAGCAGCCAGGCACCCCCACACAGTTACCATCTTTGTATGTGTACTAAGAGCACCTGGAACCTACTCTCTCAGTGTATTTCCAGAATTCACCACAGTATGATTCTCTATAGTACCCTTGTCTATTATCTTCCCATTTCCCCCACTGCTATCCTCACTCTCTGGTAACCGTGTTTTACAATCAGCGGCTAGCAGTTCAAATAGTCTAATATTCTTAGTATCATTTCACAACTATCTCTTGGGCCCTTATCTTGGGTGTCTCCAAACTACTCAACAACCGTGACTTCCCTAGGTCATCTTATCATCCTCCCCAGTACTCAGCGAGCATCTTTCACACAAAAGGTGCTTAGTAAATGTCTTACTCTTCTGAACCTATGTGCCTTTTGTGACCCTACGTTTCCCACATCTCTTAATCACAGGAAGTTTCCTACACAATTAATCTCTCAAATACATTATGGCAAGAATGCTGCTAAGCAACACTGAATACCGCAATAAAATGAGGGTTGCATGTTCCCCTTTGTGGAAAGGGCCAACATACCTCAGTCCATATATCTTCCAAGCCTCTGATTTTTTGGAATAACAGGCAAGCATCAAGATTCTGATGATGTGGTTCATTTAAAACTGATCATCTCATATCAAAAGAATTAGGAACCAACTTGAAAGGAATGAAACATGTGAACATCAACAAGGGTGACAGGTTCATAAACACTCATTAAAATAATCTCTCCATCTTTGTGTATGTTTGAAAAGTTCCACAATAAAAAGTTAGGAGAAAAGGTGGTGACTTTTAAATAAACAGTATACTAATTTAAAATTTTACTATTACAAGCCAACTATTCACACCCTACGCCCAGAGAGGGGTTACTATAGTTATGAAGAGATGAAGTCTGTTAGACCTGAGGCTGGAGAGGCCAGGCCGTATCAGAGAGCCTTGAGATTGAGGCCAAGGAGCATGGGCTTTCCATGAAGGCAACAGAACCCGACCAGAGTGTCTCACTATGTACCACCTTATCCCAAAGTTAAGTTTAGACTGAAGTATTCATGTGAGTAGTGTCTCCACATACCAGGTACCCTGCCCCACATTCACTGTAGGGATATCAGTATCAGAGATTAAGAGATTTAGAAACATGTTAAGGCTTGTTGACCCTCAGGTCCTGGACAAAGCTAAACAAGAAGACATTTATCTTTGGGGATATTTCTCTGTACCCCTATAGTCCTAGATTTGTATTTCAATCATGTTGGTCTAATATCCCTAAATAACTAATTCCAGGCCCCTTCCTTCCCAAAGGCCCAACTTTTTTGGCCTTCATCAATATCCCTATTCCCTATAAATCAACATTCTCTAAACAGAAATTAATTAATACATACCTGCTACAATATAGCTCTTCTGTACTATCTCTTAACTACCAAGATATCTATGCCCAATTGAATGTTCTTAAATTACACAGATCCTAGAGCAAATTCCGATCCCTCCATCCCAGCTCCTCTGCACCAGGAGATGTCAATATTACTACCTTTCCTTATACTCTCACTTTTTTTAAGAATCATTGCTTTGAAGATTGAAAAATCTGATTCACAGATTAAAAAGGAATTGTTCCCTGTGTTTCTCTATTATGGGTAAATGCTATCTTATGTATTTATTTATTTATATATTTTTTTCTTTCTAAACGAATTTTTTTCCCTAACTACTTCTTCAAGAAAAATTCCTAGAAAAGGAATCATTGCCACAAAAGATGAAAACACTTAAGACTTCTGTTACATCATGATCTATCCTCTAGAAACAGTGTACCAATTCACATTCCTACTAATAGCACATGAGCACTTCTGTTTCCCTACTTCGTTTACTGGTGACGATAACATTTTTTTTTTATTCTATGCCAACTGTGGAAGTGAAAAATGTCACTTCACTGTTTAATGAAATATGAATTCCTGCTCTCGGGCAAATAAGTCACACTCTGAACAAAGTCCCTGTGATACTTGGTGGAGCTGAAATTACATGGAATTAATTTCAAGCAATGAAATGATTCTACCTTACAATGTATGCAGTACCACCAGCTGCCACCAGGTGGTGGTGACTTCGTGGGGAGTATATTGACCTTGTGACCAGTTGAGTCTCTAATAACTGCGGTAACAACAGCAGATAAACTTTATTGAGTCCTTACTGTGGATCAGATACTATACTAAGTGCTTAATGTGCACTATATCATTTAATTCTCCCCAAAATAGCCCGAGACCCCATTTGTTACACCATAGTATTTTCTATTAAAAAAAAAAAAAAAGCAAATATAAGGCATCTGGGTGGCCCTGTCGTTAAGCATTTGCCTTCCACTCAGGTCATGATCCCAGGGTCCTGGAATGGACCCCGCATCGGGCTCCCTGCTTGGCGGGAAGCCTGCCTCTCCCTCTCCTACTCTTCCTGCTTGTGTTCCCTCTCTTGCTGCGTCTCTGTCAAATGAATAAATAAAATCTTTAAAAAAATTTTTTTAAGTTAAAATAAAAACCTTATTAAAGTACTGGAAGAAATTATACCACTGCTCTCAAAAGCAAATACTCAAAATTACCAACACCTGGGGACCATTAATAGCCTATTAACTAAACTGTTATTTAATCACTAGCTAAGTAAATCCAGAGTCACCAATTTACTTTGCTTAATTTTGTACAACAGCAGGCCTCGCTGGGCCATGTGGTTGCACTCTGCAGGGCTGTAAAGGAATTCTGGTATGACACAGTGTACCCTAAAGTTCCCCTACGGATTCCCAGCAGCCTCACGAAGTAAGCAGTTCATTCCCACTAACCTATTCTATTTCCCAGATCAGAAAAGTGAGTCTCAGTAGCCTGCCCGTGGCCACACAAAATGTTAAGTGGCAGGAACAAGATTCAAACCCAGATCCAGTTCCCTCACTGCTCTCCAAACAATTTCTCTCTTTCAGACCTGGTGGGGCTTGCATCCCTGCTCAAATTACATGTCAATCAGCAATCTAACTGTCAGCAGGGAAAGTTCCTAGGGTGGAGGGCCTCGAGAAAAGCTGTTCCTGCTTCGGTCCATCTCCTTTTGGAGGCTCTCGGCTCTTCCCCTCAACTCGCCCCATCACTTGGCTTCCACGTCTCAAACCTAGGGCCCACAGCCACCCTGCCCCAAGGTAAACCACTGTCGGTCTCACCAGAGCTCTGCAATAATTTCTGCTGCTGATCCAATAAGAACGTTATGTTTGAAAGTAACTGTTGAGGAGCACCTGGGTGGCTCAGTGGGTTAAGCCTCTGCCTTCGGCTCAGGTCATGATCTCAGGGTCCTGGGATCGAGCCCCACATCAGGCTCTCTGCTCAGCAGGGAGCCTGCTTCCCCCTCTCTCTCTCTCTGCCTGCCTCTCTGCCTACTTGTGATCTCTGTCTGTGAAATAAATAAATAAAATCTTAAAAAAAAAAAAAGAAAGAAAAGTAACTGTTGAGATTCTCGATAGGGAGCTTCAAAATGGTCCACGCCTCAGGGGAACACTGTCATTCTGCTTAAGCACTGGACAGTCCTAAGTAAACAAATACTTCTGTGGGGTGCCTGGGTAGCTCAGTGGGTTTGGCCTCTGCTTTCAGCTTAGGTCATGATCTCAGGGTTCTGGGATCGAGCCCCACATCGGGCTCTCTGCTCAGAGGGGAGCCTGCTTCCCCCTCTCTCTCTCTGCCTCCCTCTCTGCCTACTTGTGATCTCTTTCTCTCTGTCAAAAAAAAAAAAAAAAATCTTTAAACAAACACTTCTCAAAGTAAGAGATCTCTCCAGGCGGAGCTTGTTAAAAGAAACTTCAAGGCTGCAAAGCACATTGTAGCTTAAAACCACTCAGCAATGTCCATAACTGGTTACTGATGACAATAAGCCTTTCCTGCTGCCTCAGCTTTCATTAGAGAAAGAAGAGCCTTCCTTGCCCCTCAACTCTTCTCAATACAGATCATCTTTTCTGTCCACTGTTGTGCCAGACAACAGTGCTTGGTTGGTTGTAGCCCAACCAGCAGCCCAGTGACCCGCGCAATAGTGGCCTTCATTAAACATCTAACGAATGAATATACATTGATATAGGCATCAAACTGCCTATCACGCACAGAATGAGTATCATACATGATAACAGTCTGTACATCAAAAGTTGCATTAAAGTAAAAATGGTCGGAAAAAAAAAATAGCAAAATCCAAATGCAATGAAAACGCCCCTCAGGCCAGCCAAAGACTCACAGCCAGGACTAAGTAAGAGCAGGAATCCAATGCCAAAAATACCGCAGAAACGGCACAATTCCTCAAACACAAACACTGACTAAACCACAAGAAGACTGTAATAAGTACATTTGATATGACTCTAAAACAAAAACCCATCGGTTATGGACTGAATGTATGTACACCCCCGAAATTCACATGTTGAAGTCCTAATCCCGGGATGACTGTACTTAGAGACTGGGCCTTTAAGGAAGTACTTAAGGTTAAATAAGGTGATGAATTCCCAATTCAAGGGGATTTAGTGTCCTTGTAAGAGACATCAGAAAACATTCCCTTTCCCTTCCCCTCTCCCTCCTTCCTTCCTGCCCCCTGTCTCCTCTCTCCCTGTCTTCCCAAGGGCTCACAAAGAGGTCACGTGGGTGCACAGAGGGCCAGCAGCAACCTACAAGCCTAGAGAAGCAGCTTCACTCAGAATGAAACTTACCTCACCAGCAGCTTGATCTTGGACTTCCCACCCTCCAGAAGTATGAGGAATGCACTTCTGATGTTTAAGCCACCTAGTCTGTGGTATTTTATTACGGCAGTCCAAACTACTAATACACCATCTAATGAAATTTTAAGTCCACCAAGGGTCAATCTAAGTCCTAAAATTTGAGCAAAGACTAGAGCAACTTGGCCAGATTTTACTTTCATTGCCTTTCATGGAAAAGGGAGTTCTTTGAAGTCAGTACTCAGAACAGGTACCAAGACTGAAAATGGGTAGTGCTGAGACCTGGGATAGGTGTCAGGATCTTTTAAACCATAATGAATTCCCTTTTTTTTTTTTTTTAAATACTTCATTTATTTGACAGAGAGAGACAACACAAGCAGGGGGAGAAGGAGAGGGAGAAGGAGAGGTAGAAGCAGACTTCCCGCCAAGCAGGTAGCCCAATGCGGGGCTGGATCCCAGGACCATGACCTGAGTGGAAGGCAGACGCTTCACAACTGAGCCACCCAGGCACCCCAAACCTTAATACATTCCTGCTCATGAAGTGAAGTGAAATAAACCAAGAAATGCAGAAAACCCGGGCTTAAATCCTGACTTCAGCACTCATCCGAGCTGTGGGACTTTGGCTAAGTCAATTAATCTCCAGTGCTTCATCTATAAAATAAGGCTACAATCTTCTACTCTGCCTCACTCCATCTGCACAACTACTCTGCAATGGGAGTAAAGGAGAAGCACAGACTAAATCTTCAATAACTTTTAGTTCTTTCTACCCCCTCCCCCATATTAAACTTCCAGGGGCACCTGGGGGCTCAGTCAGTTAAGCGTCTGGCTCTTGATTTCAGCTCAGGTCATGATCTTGGCGTCCTGCGACTGGCCCCAGTCGGGCTCTGCGCTCAGTGTGGAATCTGCTTGTCCCTCTCCCTCTGCCTTTCCCTCCGCTTGTGCTCTCCCTCTCCCCCTCACTCTTTCAAATAAA